TACAAAATATAAAATAGTAAAAAAGGTATCACTTGAATAGTAATTTAAAATAGAGATAATATTTCACATTATTGCATAAACATAGTTATATAACATAAACATTTACTTAATATGATATCAAAACATAAATAGAATCATATACAACATAACATAAAGTATCATATAATCTAATGATCATATATTTTTATGCCAACTTATACCTTTATTTCCACATATACCTCCATTTGATCGTCACATATCTATTCAAGTTAGATGGAGGAATTACATACATCAAGAATCCCTTATAACTTCACTTTTATTTATACCTCCACTTGATCGTCACACATCTATTCAAGACGGATGGAGAAATACATGAACATATAGATACATATACATGAACATAAGAGCTCTTCTAATTTCACTTGTATTACACATGAATATTCACCACATTCTTCATATTCCTCACCATTCTCCCCTTTTCAGCACACATTTCATCCACATAAACATGAAAATAATAGTATTTTCAGTATAAATCAGTAATACACAAACATTAATATTTTCAACATTTAAAGACAACAACACCAACTTTTTAAATATAAGAAAATAGTAGCTTCAATGATTTCAACACAAATAGCTTAAAATCATTAATTTGTATCTTGTTAGGACCATGCATGGTTAGAGTAAGAGCATGAAAGCATCTGTAGTGCAAACTTATAACCATGTAATAGAAACAAGTTATTAACAATAATGAAAATATGTACCACTTAATTTAACATTTAGCCTTCATCTGGGATAGCTTTCATACTGCTTTTTAAAATAATTTTTGGTACAAAAATTTCAAATTCAAGAAATTTTTGTACTAGAAAGTTGTTTTAGAAAGCAAGAAGAAAGCCATCTCAAACGAAGCCTTATTTGGCACTTGAAATAATTCTGGACAGCAACTTCGCAGACCTGGACAGCAGTTCCAGCACTTGGAAACTTCAAAGAAATAGAAGATATGAAGCTTCGGCGGCGGTTTGGGTGCTAGAGAGGAAGTGGACGGCAACCAAGAACCTTCTTGGTGTTGTGGGCAGCAATCTGAACCTTCAAGGCAGCACACGAAGATTCCCCGACCGGCTGAACAGCAGGAAGAGAAGCAGAATTCCCTGACCGCATGTATGTTTGCACCCGGGTCAGTTCGGGTTCGACCCGAACCCGACCCGTGACCCGAAATTGACACCCCTAAAAATATGTACCACCTAATTTAACATTTAGCCTTCATTTGGGATAGCTTTTTTACTGCTTTTCAAAACGATTTTTGGTACAAAAATTTCAAATTCAAGAAATTTTTGTACTACAAAGTTGTTTTAGAAAGCAAGAAGAAAGCCATCTCAAACGAAGCCTTAGTCCATTTTCTTACAACAATTGAGTCATAAGGGAAAAAGTTGCATTTAAAAGAAATTAATTGTACCATAACATTTGTAAAATAAATAAAATTCTTATACCTTATAAACAATTTTTTCAATTGGTGTTAACTGTATTAATTACTACTATTATTTTTTTTAAATGTGATTAAACAATATCTTTAAGTTACAACACTTCCTTACCACAAGACATTTTTTTAATAAATTATGATTAACTAAAAATTATTTTATCTAAAGAAAATTATCGAGCCTTTAAAAAAACATTGGAATTTAAAATTTAAAGTAAGGCTAAAAATGATATTTATTGTAATTATTATACCCCAAAATTGGAAAAAATAGTTATTAACTATAATTATTAATTTATGATAATAATTAATAATTACTAATTGTTACGATGATATTAGTTCTATGAAAAATAAGACTTGGAACATGTTTACTTTTCTTTGCTATTTTAAACTTGTATCATGTTTTTATACTATGAGTAATTATTCTCTGCGGACGCCGAATGCCGTCCAGAGCCCAATAAAAATGTGCCACGTCACTCGGTACTATTCGGTACCGCAGCTCGATACTGCTCGGTACCTGCAGGTGTTGTGGCGCATTTTCATTGGCTCCGAAGTACGGTGTCCGCACATAATAATTTTTCATAGATGTAGAAATCCAACATTTGGTGAGAATACAATAAAGATAACATCTTCTAATATTGATGCCTTAATCATGTTTTTATATTATAATGTGAAGTATAATATTGATGCCTTTATGAAAGTGTATGACGTACAAATAGATAAAGAAAGGAGGCTATCATTAACTCGCTGAATTTTAATGTTTCAGTTTAACATCTAATGCTCTGAGCATCTTTGAAAGCATCAACAAAAAGATCAAATGTAGAAGAATAATAAATAATTTTATATAATGATTTTCTTCTAGCATTCAATGTTTTCTAATTATTTCCAACTAAATTATAAAATGTAACAAATTTTACCATTTTTACCAATATATTTTCTATCTACAACTAATTAAATGAGTCACTACAACTAATTAAATGAGTCATTGGAGTATTGTGCTTTCTCACTTTATGCTTGTTTTTTGAAATCATAATACATGTTTAATATTTCTTCGTAATGATAGGAGAGTCAATATTTGACATGACTTGAAAATTCAACTCGAACACGACCTAATTTCAAAACAGAATGCCCGCGCTTGCCAGCACGAGCTGCCACCAGCGCGCGACCGAGGCTGCCCGCGCCTGCTTGCGCTACCCGCGTGCTCCCGCTGCTGCCCGCTCGCGTGTGTGCCCCCAACAGCCCGCCGCCCACAGTCCTGCCCGCTCGCCGCCCTCCGGTCGCCGCCTACAGCCTGCCGTTTCGTCGTCCCACCATCGCTAGAAGCTCAACCTTGTCGGGTCGGATCAACCCGGCAACCCGACGGGTCTAGTCCGGGTCTGAATTTCCGACTCTTTTAGATACCCGGGTCGGGTTAGGGTCGACCCTTTTGAACCTGAGTCAATTCCAAGTTCGACCCGAACCCGACCCGAAAATCGATTTTGACACCCTATGTAATGATATGGAGTAATGGAAGACTTCATAATGTAAAGCGCAACATGTTATGCAAAAAAAAAAAAAAAAAAGGCTCAATGAATGACTATAGCTTTAATTTTGCTTGTTCTTAACATGGTTGAGTGTCAGGTTGAACTGATTGACTATGAGTATTAGCAACCCTATAGAACTTTTGGCAGTATAAAGAGTATGAAAATACTACATGAATTTCATTTATTTGTGGTATGGCTTATAAGCAGGGGTCAAGCCGATTGAAAACTCATAATATTGATTCCCTTGCATGCCCAAACTTCTCATTTATTTCTTTACCATTTCTTTCCTAGGTTTTTGATAGAGTTACAAAATCTCATGATGAGGAAAGCCGTCGGAAAATTCGCTGGAAATTCCGTCGGTAATGGACAATTTTCCTGTAGTATCATGATGAGGAGTGCTCCATCCAACGATTACAAGTAATCACCGTAGGTCTCGCCCTATGGCTTTTTTTATTCCTTCTTAATCGGTAAATCCTCCATGTTTCCACTTCATTATCATTAGGGCCAGATCTAGCCTCCCTTGGTTATCCCCATATGACTAACCCTATCATTATTAACAAAACCATGAATGTGAGAATATACTTCCTCAAACTTTATGGCTGCCTGATGTAGATTGGATCGTTGGAAGAAGAGGATGCTTGAACGATTTTTCAAGAACAAGAGATCAAACCAAGCACTAAGCTTCAATTCATATAATATTCACCATTCCTTTATTCATCTTTTACAATCTTTATATAATAAGCAAGTAGAAACCTAGAGAAACCTAGAAGATTCTAGAAAAATATGCAACAACTTGTAACAAACTAAATTAGATAGTCTAATTAGTTTATTCATCTCACCAATAGGGAAAATAAATCATAAAAGAACAATGTAGATGTTGCTTCTGATCTTTGTTAGTAATAACTAATAACTCATTCTATGATTCACCCATTTTCTATTTTTAGGTTCCCAAGCAAAAAAGTTATAATATCTCTTGTGAAATCTTATATTATATGATTATATTTATTTAAAGTCAAAATGTTAATTTCTCACTTTCCTACATTAAATATTTTATCATAAACTAATTCTAATTTGATGTTTTATGAAATCTATATATTTTTAAATATATTCACATCTAAGTATTAATATTACAATTTTAATGAGTATTATAAATGATGAGAACAAAATAATAAATATGAATAAAATTATTCTTTATGTAAATTAAACTATGGTGATATGCAATATATGTAATGAAAAATATAAATTGTTTAAATAATATTATCATGTAAGTATCATTGAGAAAATCTAATTACAAGTTACCAGCTAACAAACATTTGGAAGCATTTGAAAGGAAAATTTGAGGTAAATGAGGAGAAAAAAAATATATAATGGGGAAAAAAAAAAAAAAAAAAAAAAAAAAAAAAAAAAAAAAAATGGAAGCACATTACATGGGCCCACACTATGGAAGAAATCCTCTCAAATGCTTCTAATAATGGCAAGTTTGTGATTTACATAATTATAATTTTTTTATATATTTATGTATCTAATATATAAATTCTTATATTAATTTATATATTAATTTTTTTAATCTAAACTCAGAAGAAGTTCATATTATCATTAATTTTTTATATGTTATTTGAATGGCATGTTTGTAAATAAAAATTTAGGCATTCAATTTATAAATATATAAAAATTTTATGATGTGTACATAAATCCTCATTTAATTTTTCCATGATCTACTTTGGAATTTAATAAGCTTTTAATATTACAATGAGAAGTTTGAAGAGCAAGTGCAACAAAAATATATAAACCAATTGGCGGGGCTAATAATAATTCAATAAATATAACCTCATCCAAAAAGATCATTATCCAATAGTTTGAAGTGGACAAATGGATAATGAAAACTCTAATATTTTTTTGACCACAAGGAAATTAATATTCACCAAACTTACAATGTTTTCATTTAAAACCGAAAGCCTTGAACTTCATTGGGGGCAATAAGAACAAAAAAAAAAGAGAAGAAGAAGAAGAAGGGCAAAAGATAGGTAATAATGGCAGTGGAGGAAATAATAGTTCCAATAATCGACTTGGCAAATTTTGAAGCTGAGAAGGAGAAGCTCATGGAGGCAGTGTCAGGCTTGGGTTTCTTCCGAGTGATCAACCACGGAATACTTGAGGAAATTGTGGTGGATATGAAGGCTCTTGTGAGATATTTATTTGAACTCCCATATAAGATGAAGCAGCGCAACATCGACATCTTTCCCAATAGCGGCTACGTAGAGCCCAGTCGATTTAACCATCTATATGAGGGATTAGGCATATATGATGCTAGCTCACCGTTTGACATCCAGGCCTTCTGCTCCCTCTTAGACCTCTCATCCCATGACAAGTCTCTCTCTCTCTCTCTCTCTCTCTCTCTCTCTCTCTCTCTCTCTCTCTCTCTCCTTGCAGTAACCTAAAACATAAACTCACACTCACATCATGTATGCAAGTTTCTAAATCAAGATCTCTTAATTGGTAGCCAAAGCTCTCATCTGAAAGATCAAGATGAGTTGCTTTAATTTTTAAAAATAAAATTTATAACATAATTGAGATATGAAAGACATAAATTTTAGAAAATGTGACAATCATAATTAAAGATAAGAAAATATACTTTTAGTTGATTTAAGAATTGTAATAATGAATGAAATATATTATGTTTATTTAATTCATTTTATAATGAAATAATTGCTAAACAAAATATTTATTCTAACAAGAAGGCTATCGAAGTATGATTGAAAAAAGAAAATGTTGAATGGAGTAAAAATTTTGAAACTTTACTTCATTTTTTATTATTTATTATAACATATTATCCCTTTCATAGCTCTATTAACAACATCTCTTCTAATTAATTACAGAGAAACTTTGGGTACATATGCTACTAAGCTTCATGATCTCATCGTGGATTTGGCATCCAAAGTAGCCGAAGGTTTAGGAATCATTGAGTTTTCATTTCAAGAATGGCCTTGCCATTTAAGGATGAATCGATGCCTTTTCACAAAGGAAACTATGCTTGGCACTTGTGGTGTGAATACTCATTCAGACACTAGCTTCATTACTATTCTTCTTGAAGATGATTCTCATAAAGGACTTGAAATTTTGGACTCATTTGGAAACTTTGTTGCCATCAATCCTGTACCAGGGACATTTCTCGTTAATATCGGTGATATCGGAATGGTACGTCTTTATGATATATTTTATTTTAAAGAAAATATATATCAGGAGCTTGATGCTTGAATAAACTCATAATTGATTTCTTATAACAAAATCTTAAGAGTTCCATAAATTTTGTCTTGAATGCATGTGGAAGGTATGGAGCAATGGAAAACTTCATAATGTGAAGCATAGAGTGATATGCAAGAAATCAAAACCACGGATCAGTATCGCTCTATTTATGCAAGGACCAAAGGATAACAAGATTGAGCCACGAGCTGAGTTGATTGATTCAGAACACCCACAACTCTACCGAAGTTTTGACTATCTAGAGTATAGAAAGCTTCGGGGGTTAACTGCAACAATGGTTGACGACGTCCTTCATAATTGGGTTATAGCTGAACCTGCAATAATGCCTTGATATGTCTTGACAACTTAATTTAGCATGTAATAAAATGATTAATAATCAACATTTGTGTCACTAGTTTGGTGCATAAATAGTCCAAATATACTATATGATGCTTTGCATCTAGTATGACAATATGATGCTTTGCATCTAGTATGACACATAGTCTTTTCCCATGCATCTTAAACCCTAACGGTCTCTTCAAAGAACCAAGTAGAAGTGATCCTAGAATAAATAAATATCGCTTAATTAATATATTAAACTAATATATAATTTATTATTAAATGAAAAAAATATAACTTAGGCTAATCTTAAAGCACTCACGAAGTGTTGTGTGGATGGTAGGAAGGACATGATCCTCAGAAGAAAAGGTTGAAAATAGGATTTTTAAGATCTTTGGCAAACTTCCATATATTTATGGTTCATAAATATGTTAGTTAAAAGTTGAAATTATTTACAATATTATGTTGGAATAAGTAATAATAAAAATAAGCACTCATTATCATCTATAAATGACCTCCCTAACATTTTGTCACAATATGTCTGATAGTTTGAGGCTAAAACAAGACGCTACATGAAATTCAATTTTTTAATTCCGACAAAAATATACGCCGGAAAAATTCGCTGGAAATCTGCATTACCGTCAGATTGAAATCTGACAATAAAATGGGTGTCAGAAACAAATTTTCAACAGAATAATTCTGTAAAAAATTATTCTAGCATATTTCCGACTGATTTTTGGTGGATTATAGGATGAAAAAATGACCCTTTTTGGAGGGTATACCGATGTAGATTTCAGTCAAAAATTCAAGCGGATTACTAGCGAAAAATACGCATAAATTTTTGGAGGAAACTTTTTGTAGTTTTTTCTCGGGAAATTCCGACATATTTTTTCGCCTATAATTTGCTTGAATTTTTAGCGAAAATTTTCGCCAAAATTCATGTATTATACTCCTCATATCAACCTTTTCGGTGGAAAATCCAACGGAAATCCACCGAAAACTTACAACCCAACTAAAGAAAATACCCTCTCATGTCAATTATTTTTACAAAACAAAGTAATACTAATAGCAAATAGGTGGAACAAAAATGTTTTTAAAAATATTTTTTCTAATATTATTGAAGCGGAGAGGAAAGTTTCTGAGTTGGATATCATTTATTTGGAGAATCCAAATTCTGATAATCTGAATTGTCTTAACCAAGCTAAGGAGATTCTTTTTCACTTGCAACTTCAAGAAGAATCTTTCTGGAGGCAAAAGGCTAATGCTAAACTTTGAAAGCGAGTAACTTGGACAAGGCTTTGTGAACGAGAGTGATCTATTTGGTGTGTCCTCGGAGAGTGCTAGCAAGTCTTTGTGTGAAGTTCTCAATCTGTTAAGTGTGGGGGTGAGTCCCTTCGGTTCTGATAACCACAACTGAGAGTTGCAAAGTATAGAGGATTCTACTCTTGCCTTTTCAGTCTAAGTAAAGGCATGAAGCTTTGGGAGGTTGATCCTTGTTGAGGAGCCAAGTCCTTAAGAGATTGGTTGAATTTGTGCAAGTTACTTATAGCTCTTTTTGAAGGCTTCTTTGAAATTAAGAGTACAAGCCTCCTCAAGATTACTAATTAATGTTCCATTAGATTTAGGTTTAAGGTAATATTCTATTTATATAGTAAGTCCCTAACGTAGAATTAAGTTTTAGGCCTATATCCTTATCGAGATGTTATAAGTCCTCTATGATTTCTTAATGTGTTATAATCATTTTTTATCTGATTGATATGTTTTAGCTCTTTATGATTTCCTTTTTCTCGCATTAGTCTAGCATCTCAATCTAATAAGTCAGGCAAATAATTTGACAAGTTAGGCTAGTTTTCTGACACTAATAAACAAAATAATTTTGTTAGCTCAAGATATTTTGTTGATTACATAGGTTCATTTGGCCTCCTATATATTATCAACAAACTTTAATTAAATCAACTAATTATAACTTAATCAATCAACTATAATTTATCCAATCAATTATGCATGTTTGGCCCAATATAATTGATCAATTAAAATTCTAGCAGTCCAATTCCTATCAGATTAGCTAACTCTGCTTAGTCTGCCCAACCTATTTGGTAAACATGGTGAAGTCAAGACCAGTCTCATCTAATTGCTTATGCCCAATAATCCATCAAAACCCCAAGAAAATTTTTAGTACTAAAGAATTATGTCTTAAACATTATTGTACTCTCACTCCATTTAGGCCTGTATATATATGATGCCTTATCCAGCTTTCTATTATCTTCTTTATGAAAACAATTCAAAATCTTGACACCTTAGAGAAAAATGATCTAATTCCATTTACTCTCTAGCTTTTTGGTTCAAGATCTAATTCCATTTACTCTCCTTAAAGTAATTTTGTGATATCTTTGGAGACTTTTATTTTATGCTTTGTGTTCTTTTTGTCGCTAACTTTTAAAATGATCTATTAATTTTTATGTGATTTTTTAGCTATTTAGACATTTTAGTTATATGTAGAAAGCTAGCCATCATATCTTCATTTTTTTAATGCATTTTATTGTGGATAAGTTAGAGTTTCTAACATGTCTTACTTCATATGAAGTTGTTTTATATTCTTCAAGAAAAAAAAAAATATATTGATTTTGTTATCATGTACTCATGAAGAAGATTAAGGCTTCATTTGAAATAGCTTTCTTGCTGCTTCTTAAAGCAGTTTTCTAGTACAAAAATTAATTGTTAAAAAAAAATTGTATTAGAAAGCTTTTTTCGAAAGTAGTAAGAAAGTTATTCCAAATGAAGCCTAAATACAATTTTTAAGTATTGGTTGAGAATTTTAATAGAATGTATAATAATCATGAAATTTATAACTCGAACAAATGACTTCAGTGATACAACTCTGTACTTTAACCAATGAGCCAATTCTTCTTTCACAACTATTGATAGTTTAGAAATCAAATCAATATTATAAATTTCTCTCACTTTATTATGAATATTGTTGTCCTAATTTACTATACTCTAAAAAAAAAGTATATAGTGATCTTCACAGTCTCTCATTGTGTAAAAAAATTATATTATTCTCATGATTTCAATTATGAATAGCTCTTAACCACCCTATTAATATCCCCATAAGCCTTCACTACAACCAATTACTACCCCCTTAGCCTTCCACAAGCTATCTAGACTATATTATAGTCAACCTAATTGAACCAACATGTAGAAAAGAGCCTATCAAGTACCAAAAAAGAAAAAGAAAAAAAAACCCTAATGTTAATTTGTTTAGAGAAGGATTAATAAAATAGACATCATAGCCCCTACATTTACATAAATTCAATTTCCATATATAGATCATAGATATTTGAAGTAATTAAGAAAAAAGAAAAGAAGCTTCCACAAATACGTAAATAAGAAGCATCCAACCTACTATAAAAATTTATAATATGCCAAAATTTTTTTAAAAAAAATTACGTAAAATGCAATAGGGTGAGATTCGAAATTCTTAAATTTACAGTTAGATTAGTACTACTATAAATAACATCTTGAATTGCACTAATCTCAAATTAAAGCCTTAAAATTATGCTAAGATTAGTACTACACCTAATATCTTGAATTGCACTAATCTCTATGTAAATCCAATGATTTGAAAGCCCATCTTAATCTGTTTTATGTAAGAATATTCTAACATAATTTTTTCCCATAAAATTAAAATTGATTTTAGACTTATAATTTTTATAAGGTTTTGTTTGGGATGACTTTTTTACTATTTTTTAAACAACTTTTGTATAAAAAAATTATTCTAAAAAAGTTGCTTCAAAAAATAGTAAAAAATTTTCTAAAATGAAGCCTAAATTACCCTATAATTATGTGTTTTTTTTAATCTCCTAACCAACATCAAGCAAATCTTGCATTAGGGGTGTCAATATTTGACAAGACCCAAAAATCCGACTCAAATCCGACCCGAAAATTTCGTGTTAGGGTCAACCCGAACCCGAAACGGGTCGGGTTCGGATTCAACATTTCGACCCGTTTCAATAATTGGGTCGGGTTCGGGTTAACCTTTTGACCTGAAATTGACCCGAAAGTGACCCGATTTTGACCCGAAAAACCCAATTTTGATCTGGCAACCCAAGATAGACCCAATTTTGACCCGGTTTTGACCATAAAAAGAGGAGATTGACCCATTTTTTACCCGAAAATTAATAATTTTTTGTTGAAAATGGGTCATTCGTGTCGGATCGGGTTGACCCGGCCCTGAAGCGGGACGGGTTCGGGTCCAGGAAATCGATCCGTTTTTAAAAACGGGTCGGGTTCGGGTCCAGGAAACCGATCAGTTTCGGAATCGACTCGAACCCGACCCGTGCCCGAAATTGACACCCCTATCTTGCATGCATCCCTTCAATATGCCGAATCTTAGGCTCAGCCAATCTCACCCGTCCATCCAACCTACTTTTTCCGCACGGCAATCTAAGACGGTTTGGACGACGACGATTAAACCGTACCTCTGAATCCTCATCGGCAAAAATGCCGTGCCCCGCCGAGAATCACCCTTGTACAACAAAATCATTAAATAAGTCTACAGAGTTTACTAAATATTAAATAAATATCACACATAATTTATATATTAGGCTATTAGCATAAATTTATTGTCTCTATTTTATCTCTATAATTATTTTTGTTGCAATTAGCGGGCCCACATAGGATATATATATATTTTTATTTATGAATAAATATAAATATTCTCAATTAGAGGCACGTTACGATGTAATAAAATTCCTTTAGTCAGGTCTATAAAAAATTTCAACACTTACGTCATTGAAGTTTTTTCTTCTTTTCATTTGACAATTCAGGAAAATTTGCAAGAGAAAAAATTAGTATCTAGAATGGTGTCAATTTCGAGTCACGGGTCGAGTTCGGGTCAAACCTAGGAACTGACTCGAGTTCAAACGGGTCTATCCTAACCCGACCCGGGTAGATAAACGGGTCAAAAATCAGAACCCCGGCCCCGCCACGGCTGTTTGATGGGTTGACCCGACC